GGATTCTCTCATGGATAGTAAGGTTTGAGCTCTGAGTGAAGCTTTTCCCGCACTCACTGCATTCATACGGTCTCTCCCCCGTGTGGATTCTCTGATGCGTAATAAGGGCTGAGCTGTTCGTGAAGTTTTTCCCGCACTCACAGCATCCATAGGGTCGCTCCCCTGTGTGGATTCTCTGATGTATCAGAAGGGCTGAACTCTGAGCAAAGCGTTTCCCGCACTCACAGCATTCATAGGGTCTTTCTCCCGTGTGAATTCTCTGATGTGTAACGAAGGCTGAGCTCTGAGTGAAGTTTTTCCCACACTCACAGCATTCATAGGGTTTCTCTCCCGTCTGGATTCTCTCATGGTTAGTAAGGTCTGAACATCTACTGATGTTTTCCCCACACTCAGTGCCTGGGTTGTTTCTCTTTCCCCTGAGGATTCTCTGCTGGGCTGGGGTTCCCTTGACATCTTTGTGAGTTTCCCAACAATTAATGGATTTACCCACTTTTTCCTCTGTCTGGTTTCCCAGCTGCTGCTCTGGTCTCTGCTGATGCCCATAACCTTCTCCCTGCTCACAATTCCCAGGCACATTCCCTTTGTCTCTTTGTGATGATGCCCTGTGCAGTTCCACTTGTTCAGTATCTTCCTCTTTAGGATTCTGCTCCCTTGTCTCACTCACCGTCCCATCACCTGCTGGGATAGAGAGGGAACCCTCAGAAACAGGAATGGAAAAGAGAGAGCAAACCAAAGTCTGTGCTGGAGAGACAGACAGACAGAAAAAATCAGGAACTGAATTTCCCCAAACTTTTCCCCACAGGGATTCAGGAGAGGATCGATTCTGCCTCCACATCCCACCCAAAAACTCATGGGAGAAGGGAGGTCAGGGAGGGAGCTACTGTGAGGTGTCAGTCAGGATGGGTGGGAAGCCAGGAGTGGTATTGGCTGTGAGCATATGACACCTGCTGGACACGGAGAGCTTCCAAGGTCTCTGTAGGGAATCCCAGCTGTTTCCTTCGGGCACGGGCAGTTTTTGAGTTTGTTTAATGATTCCTCACCCGTGCAGATGCTCTCTCTGTCCTCCGAGCCCTGGAGATCTGGGACCAACGGCTCTTCCCCTCGTTCCAGCTGGGAGCTCACATCAGGTCTGGATACTGGGAACCCTGCTCAGGAAGATCAGGGGAATTCATTTGTCACACACAAAAAAAAGTGTCATTATTTTATTGCTTTAAAATGGGCTGGGGATAAAATCCCCGGGCAGCCCCGCAGGTGCTCAGAGGCAGAGGCACCAACGTCCCACGCTCCCGGGGGGTGCTTCACCCCGCTCCGCCCCAGGCCCTGCCCCCACCCCACCCCTTCCCCTAAGTCCCCACCCACACCCCACACCCTCCCCCACCTCTTCCTGCCTCGCTCCTCCCCTTCTGCCCCAGCGCCTCCTGCACGCCACTGCACAGCTGATTGTGGTGGGCGGGAGGGCTGGCAGGGAGGGAGAGAAGCTGATCCGCAGGCCTGCTGAGCACCCACTAATTTTTTCCCCTGGGTGCTCCTGCCCCGGAGCACCCACAGAGTCGGCGCCTATGCTCAGAGGTGCAGGACCCACTTTTTATGGGCGATTTAGCTACCCCCACCTCCGTCAGGAACGCAGTCAAAGGGGCTCCTAGAACACAGCGATGGTAACTCCGTGTCCCGGAGAGCGAAGGTCCCCTGCAAATGCTTCTTGCTGATCTCAGGGGCCCAGAGAGAAGGAGAGCGCTAGGGAAGCCAGGTTGGGCGAGCGTGGGCTGGTGGGGTGCAGCGTAGCGAGGAATAGGAGGGAGCGGGGATGATACTGAATGCAGGCTGTCAGGAGCAGTAGATGTCAGGAGAGCACATTTTGAGGCAACGGAATCTAGCAAATCAGGTGTAATGGGCGTGGTGGTGGGGGGTGAACATGGAAGGCTGGAGAATTTAGGACCAAACAGACTAATTCCCCTAGAAAAGGAAAATGTGAAAAGTAAGAATCAGGCCACGTGACTTCAGGAGGGACGGACTCAAGGAGCCTGCTGGGAAGAGGGTTTGTGGCTGCTGCAGATGGGGAGGGAGTTTCAAGAAGTCTCACTACCAACCCATGACATCGCCAGGGACACACACACACACTTGGGCCAGGGAAGGGGTCGTGTTGTGACTGGGAGGAACATAGAACTCAGAAATGGTGCAGCTCTGTCGTATTGAGGAACACTGCATGGGGACGGGGCTATTGGGGTGTTTACGGTCGGAATCATGTGGTTTAGTTTAATGGGGCTGTGACAAAGGGGGGATTTTTGTAATATTTTTATGAATCCTGAACATAAGAACATAAGAGCGGCCGCACTGGGTCAGACCAAAAGTCCATCCAGCCCAGTATCCTGTCTACCGACAGTGGCCAATGCCAGGTGCCCCAGAGGGAGTGAACCTAACAGGTAATGATCAAGTGATCTCTCTCCTGCCGTCCATCTCCCCAAATTAAGAAACACAGTAAAAGAACTAAAAAAGAGCCACCACGGCTTAACAACCATGTAAAAGAAGCAGTGAGAGATAAAAAGGCATCTTTTAAAAAGTGGAAGTCAAATCCTAGTGAGGTAAATAGAAAGGAGCAAAAACACTGCCAGATGAAGTGTAAAAATGTAATGAGAAAAGCCAAAGAGGAGTTTGAAGAACGGCTAGCCAAAAACTCCAAAGGTAATAACAAATTTTTTTTAAAGTACATCAGAAGCAGGAAGGCTGCTAAACAACCAGGGGGGTCCCTGGTGATCGAGATACAAAAGGAGCTTGTGTTTGCTTGTGCCTCATTTTCCCCAATGTGCTGCATTGGTCCCTCGTGGTTAGAAAAGGGCTGTTTCCTCTCAGGGCAGGTGAAAAGACATAGACATGGGTCTATTCTGTCTGTTCCTTAGGTTCCATATCAGTGGCGCTTTTGAGAACGCACTGGTAGCTCCAATGACCCAGACACTGACACATAGCAAACAATGAGCAAGAAGGATATGGATTTCCTCACCTCTTAGCAGCGAGGCTGTGACCGAACACACCCCTGGATTCACACCCGACACACTATTGTAAAAATCTGTGTACAAAGTACGCCTTGGGAGGGATCATTTGCAAACTCATAATTTGCTGGTCGTTGTTGTCCTGCATTAATAGGAGCATTGCCAGCAGATTGAGGGAAGTAATTATTCCCCTCTATTCGGTACTGGTGAGGCCACATCTGGAGTACTGTGTCCAGTTTTGGGCCCCACACTACAAGAAGGATGTGGACAAATTGGAGAGTCCAGCGGAGGGCAACAAAAATGATGAGGGGGCTGGAGCACATGACTTATGAGGAGAGGCTGAGAGAACTGGTATTATTTAGTCTGCAGAAGAGAAGAATGAGGGGGGATTTGATAGCAGCCTTCAACTACCTGAAGGGGGGTTCCAAAGAGGATGGAGCTCGGCTGTTCTCAGTGGTGGCAGATGACAGAACAAGGAGCAATGGTCTCAAGTTGCAGTGGGGGAGGTTTAGGTTGGATATTAGGAAAAACTTTTTCACTAGGAGGGCAGTGAAGCACAGGAATAGGTTCCCTAGGGAGGTGGTGGAATCTCCTTCCTTAGAGGTTTTTAAGGTCAGGCTTGACAAAGCCCTGGCTGGGATAATTTAGTTGGGATTGGCCCTGCTTTGAGCAGGGGATTGGACTAGATACCTCCTGAGGTCCCTTTCAACCCTGATATTCTATGATTCTATGAACTTGGTAACCTATTCCAGTACTTAATTACTCTTATAGTTGAAAAGTTTTTCCTACTAGCCAACCCAAACCTCCCTTGCTGCAGATCAAGCCAATTTCTCCTTGTCCTAACCCAGTGGACGTGGAGAACAATTGATCACTGTCCCCCTTTGTAACAGTTTTTAACATACTTGAGGACCATTATCAGGTCTTTTCTCAAGATTAAACATTCCCAGTTCTTTCAACCTTTCCTCGTAGGTCACATATGCGGTAGCTTTATAGGTGTTTTCCTCTGCATTTGCGTTTGTCAAGGTCAGAGTAAACGATGTTGCAGTAACTGAGGCAGGAGATGATGAGTGCCCTGAACAAGAATTTCAGCTCTGTGGATGGGTAGGACCGGCTATAGTTTAGGGACATTCAGCAGAAAGAAAATCCAAGATGTAGACATATCATGAGAACATGGAGAGGGGTCTGTGTCAAAGTTACGGGCCTGCGTGACAGGCAGGACAGTGATGCTTTCCACAATGAAAGAGAAAAAAGAGATGGTGGGATGGCTGGGGGGATATTAAGAGCTCTGTTTTAGCCATTCTAACTGCTGAGTTTGAGCTGATGGACAGACATTCCAAAGGAGAGGTTAGAGAGACTGGCGGGGATTTTAGTTTGGACAGAAAGAGACGGGTCTGGAGTGGAGAGGTAGATCTGTGAGTCACCAGTTGTATTTGTGTTTGTGGATGAGATTACCCAGAGATCAGGTGTAGAGGAAGAACAGAAGGGGACCAAGGACAGGGTAGTATCCTGTATCAGAGGCCTGGTGTGAGACCTGGGGCCTGAACTAAAGTAGTGGTAAAGCCCTGCTCATATAAAGCAAAGTTAGTAAAAGTCAGGCTGTGAAGAGACATCACAGAACCTGGCAAGAACAGGGTTTTTGCAGTGACCCAGCCACTCCCAGTCTTTATTCAGGCCTAATTTGATGGTGTCCAATTTGCAAATTAATTCCAGTTCTGCTGTTTCTCGTTGGAGTCTTGTTTTTGAAGATTTTTTGTTGAAGAATTGCCACTTTTAAGTCTGTTATTGAGTGTCCAGGGAGACTGAAGTGTTCTCCTACTGGTTTTTGAATGTTATAATTCCTGATGTCAGATTTGTGTCCATTTATTCTTTTGCGTAGAGACTGTCTGGTTTGGCCAATGTACATGGCAGAGGGGCATTGCTGGAATATGATGTCATAGATCTGAATAAAGACTGGGAGTGGATGGCTCACTACAAAAACTAATTTCCCCTTGCCGATACTCGCACCTTCTTGTTAACTGTTTGAAATGGGCCACCTTGATTACATTGGCCTCATTAGCACTACAAAAGTGATTTCCACCCCTTCTTGTCAACTGTTGAGAATAGCCCACTTCCACCTTAATTGAATTGGCTCGTTAGCACTGACCCCCCACTTGGTAAGGCAACTCCCAACTTTTCATGTGCTGTGTATTTATACCTGCTACTGTGTGTTCCACTCCATGCCTCTGATGAAGTGGGTTTTAGCCCATGAAAGCTTATGCCCAAATAAATTTGTTAGTCTCTAAGGTGCCACAAGGACTCCTCGTTGTTTTTTGCTGATACAGACTAACACGGCTGCCACTCTGAAACCTGACTAATCTCCATCCCTTGTCATTTATCTCAGCTGCTCCATGGCACCCAGAGCCTCTATGAGGAAGCAGTATTGAAAAGTTTGGGACTTCAGATCAGCATGTGCCAAACGGACGGGTAAAAGAGAGTGAAGTGCATGTGTGCAGCAATCCTAAGGCCCCGTTAACAGCTGGAGTGTAGGCTTGGGACTTAACTCACCCCCATACTAAACCAGCCTGGGGTGAAACTTAGGGATTTCCCCACTAAAATGAAGGGAAAAAATGCCCTGCTGCTGCTAAGGTGCCCCCATTTCGGGAATTCCCCTAACAAGAGTTATAACACCAAGGGTTGTAAAGTAGAGACACCCAGTTCAGTGGGGAGTTTAGGGAGGAAACAGAAAGGCCCCAAGAATTGGTAAAATAGATTAGATAAGCTCTGACCAGCAAATCTAGGGTGACCATCTGCACAGACAAAGAAGGTCACAAAAAAGTTACAATTTGGGCACGAGAGATAGAATGGAAAAAGAGATGAGCAGAGAGGAGACGATATAGGTGCCAGTGCATGATTGGTTAAATTTTGTTACCTAGGGGTATTGAATAATGTGATAGGTTTAGTGAAGTTAAAGGAGGTAGCTATATAATGTAACAATAAAACAATGCTCTTTGGGAACCATCTCTGGATGGCAATTTAACATCAAGCTGCTAGAATCATAGACTATCAGGGTTGGAAGGGACCTCAGGAGGTCCAACCCTCTGCTCAAAGCAGGACCAATCCCCAATTAAATCACTGACCTTGCGTGGCGTGCAAAGGCAGCGGCACCCCCAGATGAGAGGATCTTGATTGGCCATGTGGTGAAAGTTGTCTGTATATTGGGACTCTGCCCCCCCAAAGAGACACTCAGCACCCCATATTCACCATGGTGATATAACTATGACATGTTTTGTACAAAAATATGCCTTGTGAGGTATCATTCTAAAGTCTTAATCTGTTGAACATAAATAGCCTGTTAAGTTGTCTGTGCTCTCATTGCATATGAAGTTATAAAGTTTGGCTATGTATGCGCTACTGAAACATGTGAGGTTGGCAACACCCACAAGCAGCCTTTCAGGTACAACACTAAAAAGGCCACACAATGTTGATGGCCTATTGAGGAAATACAAACACTCATAAGGATTACCCTAGGAACTGGGTACCATAGAAACCTCCGCGAGATAGAATCAATCATAGAATATCAGGGTTGGAAGGGACCTCAGGAGGTATCTAGTCCAACCCCCTGCTCAAAGCAGGACCAATCCCCAACTAAATCATCCCAGCCAGGGCTCTGTCAAGCCAGGCCTTAAAAACCTCTACTAACACTACACCATGGGAACTGTTTGACCCAGGTCACAGCAAAAGAGCTTCCCAGCAAGTTGGAAAAAGATATAAAAGGGGGGAGTGACATCATCTCTTGGCCTCACTCCCCACACAAGAAACTCCTGGAAACACCTGAGGATCGAAGACTAAACTGGGAAGTGCTGGTCACAGGGTAGGGGGATTTCTAGCCTGTGTATGGAAGCTTGATGAACTGCTTATACTATCTAACAGGGTGAGACACTGTTTGATAGGCTAGGTCTACACTACGGGGGGGGGTGGGGGGTCGACCTAAGATACGCAACTTCAGCTACATGAATAGCGTAGCTGAAGTTGCGTATTTTAGGTCGACTTACCTGGCTGTGAGGACGGCAGCGAGTCGACCGCTGCCACTCCCCCGTCGACTCTGCTTCTGCCTCTCGCCACGGTGGATTTCCGGAGTCGACGGCAGAGCGATCAAGGATCGATTTTATCACGTCTACACTAGTGTAATGGCTGACAGAGCATTCAATGAATACATTGCCGGTGGATGTCGGCGGAAGTGCGAGCTTGGAGGGCTTTGCAGTTTGTCACAACCTCACAGTGCAAGAGGGAACCCAGATTGGCATGACAGAGGGCTCAGCTGTACCACAGTTCCAGGCTGCACTCGG